ACTTTCAGCTCACTGATGATATTTTTCGCCTTCAGATCTTTCAGCTTCTTCTCAGTGTAGAATCCAATGTCCAACTTGGCCAAGGGCAGCTGAATGGCCTCACTGCTAACATCTACCTGCATTATCTTGTAAGGAGAAGTAATGGTACTCCTGTCCAGCTTTAAAAATCGCTGCATAAGGGATGCAAGCATTCTAGTAAGGTCTTCAGCTAAAAAGGGCAGCATTGGTGCATCAGTCTGATAGTCTGTTAGGAAAGGATTGACCAGCTTTGCAACAGATATGAAGAAGTACAGTCTTGCTAAGAAATCAGTTATATGAGTACATTTTGAAACAGTTTCAAAGGACTTGTTCTTTGGGTGAGGGATTTTCTTCTCTTCTACTGCTTTAACATACGCACATACACTCTCCCAGATGCTGATTGCTCTCTCTGCAACAGGAAGGTTTTCCAGCCATCGGGTCTTGCAAAACTTAAGTGGCATGGTATGATCTCCAGTTATCTTCTGATAATCCTCTCTTCTGGCAGGGGAATCAGAAAACAGGTAATACAAGGATGATAGAAAGCTTTCCACCTCCCAGTCAGCAGCCTTGGCACCTGTCAGAAAAGCACCATTAACTATATGGAGCCCGCATGAGCCTATATTCAGTATGGATTTGGTCAGGTCAGCAGTGTACTCTCGCGTAAAGTCATCATACATCTTCCAATTAACGTTGGGACCATCCATTGATATTTGCAGTAATTTTTCCAAGCCAACTGTGTGCAGAACTTTATTCAGTTCTTCCTTGAGGTGAACAGCTGAACCATGTCCGATGAACACAGACGTCAAGTAGCGAGTGCAAACTTCATTGTGTTGCCATGTTCTTATGAGGAAGTCCATCTGCTTTTTCTGGAGCTTCTTGTTGAGGCTTTCATCAAACAGTATCACATAGTGGTTTGATTGTTTTATGTTGTCATAAAGGAGGTCTTGCACATATGGGCCCAAACCAAACACCGTCATATACCGACATTTTGTTTCTGACAACGTGAAACCCTTAGCAATAGCTGAGTCCGGAAACATTCTTTGAAAGAGCTCACTGTTGTGCTGGCAAGAATGAAATGATAAATGATCCTCCACCACTTTCAGACACCAGAGTATTTCAGCTTTTAAAGTTTCCTCTCTTGCAGCAACAGGAATGGGAGTTGTCACTTTAGAGGTTGATGGCGCACAAGTACTGGTTGTTGCATCTGTAGACGTGATAGATACTGATGAACTTTCTGCACCTTTTGCCTTGAAGAAGCTCTTGAGTGAGAGAGTAGAATCTAGGAGAAAAGAAAAAAATGTCTATTAAAATAAATAAAATATAAATATCATCATTTGGTAAGATTTAGGGCCGAGTCAAAACGTTTAACTGCCGTTCAAACGACCATTAAAAGCATAAACGTTTTCCTATTTTGACAACCGTTTGACAGTATGGGGAAGGAAAAAAAAAAAAAATTCACGGCAACTTTTGGCCAATTGATGTAAGTCACTAAGACAAGTGGACTAATTTTTGACTCATTCCTTAAAAACATATTTTAAAGAAATAGAAAGGAGGAAATACTTCTCAAGGCAAGCAAACTGTTGGACCCAATTGTAAGTACAAAATTTAGTTTTATGATTTTTGGGGTCAATTTTAAGGTAAATTATTATTATTTTTTTTTTCTGCAGTCCACATACAGTGCCCGGTACAACACTGGCGTGTGAGTGCGGAGCCCCCTGGGTTAGCGTTCGGGCTGTTGCATGCAGTAACCTAGCCGGCCCGGCCCGGGGCCGGGGACGCTCCCGAACGGGCTGGTCGCAGTAAGCAGTAACCAATGCCTGCGAGGTGACATCGCATCGCTAAATAATCTCAAATCTTTCATTTTTATATAATTATTATCAGTCATTATTTGGATTCATGCTCAATAAAGGATCGGTAAAATTCACATTAAAAATGCTCACTTACGACGTTGTTGCTGTTGGAGGTTTGCTGTGTGTTTTTCACTCTTCTTGTGGCTCTTGACGGCTGCTTCGCCCATATTACGGACACTGAATTTACACATACAAACAGCACATCTAGCAGTCCCCAGATCGGAACTTTCTTTCAAAATCCAGCCACGGTAATCCGGGTGTTCTAACCAAGCATCCTTAAAATGACAATTTCCAGGCATTTTGAATATCACTTCCACAAAATTTGTAATGGTGAAAATATCCACGTGACGAGTTCCAAGGTCTGTGAAAATAAACAACTCCGTTTCATGAAGAATCAACACATGCACAAAAGTTTCAAAACACATGCCGTCGCGTCGATATATAGATCGTCAACGAGCTAGCGCTGCCAATTTGCCTTGTTGACACGTCAGTATTGTTCCTTTTTTATTTAAATAATGAAAATTAAAAAACAAATATTACTAATTTACTTTTTCCTCATTTATTGGAGAAGTGTAAAAATTGTAGTAGTCTAAGTGGTCGCAATTTAATGCAAAGCCAAAGTGCAATCGAGGCATTACATTCGTTCTTGGAGTGTCACATGTCGCGTTGGCACCATCATCATATGCACACACACACTGCACACGTACACGTGCGCTAGCTTGCTGAACTGAGCTAGCGCTAGCGAGCTCGCTCGCAAGCTAGCCATGTGCGCACGATGTGGACCGTACCGCCATACACTGACCATACACACGTAGTTCGTATCGTACACGTACACACCCACGTACACAGCGCTTATCCATCGATCATAGTGAACACATTCACAAGTACAATCAGTCGGTATGTTACGAATGAAAGAAAATACGAGAAGAAAATGGTTGAAATATCTCCATTTATTCACTTGTATAGTGAGAAAATACTATAGTTGTCCATAATTTTGATATTCCATGACTTTCCATGACTTTCCAATGGAAAAAATAATTTTCCATGACTTTCAAGGCCTTAAAAGCAATAAAGTAAAATTCCATGACTTTCCAGGTTTTCCATGACCCGTACGAACCCTGTTGATGGTAATCCATCCATCGGTTCTAATGATAATGCAATCACAAGCTATTTTTGCATACATAATGAGCCCCATGACCTTTGACCTTGACCTCATGACCCCAAAATCTAATCAATTCATTGGCTCTGCAAGATACATACATGATCTAAGACTGGCAGGAATTCATCAATCGGTTCTTGAGATTACGCGATCACAAGCTATTTTTGCATACGTAATGAGCCGTGACCTCGTGACCCCAAAATCTAAGCAATTCATTGGCTCTGCAAGTTACATACATGTCCAAAGTTTGGTAGGAATCCATCAGTCGGTTCTTGAGATTACACGATCACGAGAACGGGACGTACGTACGGACAGGAAGCCCGAAACAGGAAGCCCGAAATCTTAGCCTGCTAAAACTAGATGGAATTCGACTGCGCGCAGTCGAAAATGATGCCTCCGTTATAGAGCAATTTTACAAACCAAAACAGAAAAAAAAAATTGAATTCACGTTCAATGGTAATCCATTGACAGGTTCTCAGAATATTGTGATTACAAGCAATTTCTCATATACATATATGACCCTTTGATCTTTGACCTCATGACCATAAAATCTACTCAGTTCATTGGCTCTGCAAGATGTTCTGAGTTAAATAGTAATCCATCTGTCAGTTCTAATGAGAATGCGTTCACAAGCTATTTTTGCATACATAATGGGCTCATGACCTTTGACCTTTGACCTTATGAACCAAGAATCTACTCAGTTCATTGGCTCTGCAAGTAACAAACATGACCTAATTTTGGCATGAATCCATCAATCGGTTCTTGAGATAACGCGATCACAAGCTGTTTTTGCATTCATAATGTGCGCTGTGGTCTTTGACCTTTGACCTACGTGCTCCAAAATCTAATCAGATTGTCTTCCTATGGTGATACACACTATCATTAAGTTTGAAGTTTTTACATCTCCAGTGGTTCTTGAGATATCATGATAACAATCTCAATGTATGGAATTTCATAAGTTGACCTCTGTGACCCTTGACCTTTGACCTACATGCTCCAAAATCTAATCAGATTGTTTTCCTATAGTGATACACACTATCACTAAGTTTGAAGTTTAAATCTCCAGTGGTTCTTGAGATATCATGATAACTATCTTAATGTATGGAATTTCATAAGTTGACCTCTGTGACCCTTGACCTTTGACATACGTGCTCCAAAATCTAATCAGATTGTTTTCCTATAGTGATACACACTATCACTAAGTTTGAAGTTTAAATCTCCAGTGGTTCTTGAGATATCATGATAACAATCTCAATATATGGAATTTCATAAGTTGACCTCTGTGACCCTTGACCTTTGACATACGTGCTCCAAAATCTAATCAGATCGTCTTCCTATGGTGATACATACTATCCTTAAGTTTGAAGTTTAAATCTCAAATGGTTCTTGAGATATCGCGCTAACAAACTCAATACAAGGAATTTCATAAGTTGACCTCTGTGACCTGTGACCTTTGACCTACGTACTCCAAAATCTAATCAGATCGTCTTCCTATGGTGATAAATACTATTCCCGAGTCTTAAGTTTAAATCTTAAATGGTTCTTGAGATATTGTGATAACGGTCAAACGGGACGGACGTACGGACGGACGTACGGACGGACGGACGGACGTACGGACGGACGGACGGACGGACGGACGGACGGACGTACGGACAACCCGAAAACATGATGCCTCCGGCACCACCTTCGGTGGCGGAGGCATAAAAATCTCAACAAACTATCCTTCTATGAATTAATGAAAAAGTAGCCCCAGAAAAAAAAAGTTAAGTGAGAGCCCTGTTGTGTCTATAGTACAGATTAGGTAAATTCGATCCTCTATCAAAATTGGATTTAAAAAAAATACATGACATATTTTTCCCATCAATCAAAATTGGAAATGCTTGGATATTGATTATTGATCAAAATAATGTAAATCTTATAAAAAAAAAATGAAATTTTAACTTATTCAAAACATGTCTAGTTTGCTTTCATCCCACGTTTCATGACCATTCTGATATATCAAGTGAATGGCCTAAATAAAAGTGTAATTTGAAAACCTAAAACATATATACATCTTCACCATATAAGTGTTACTACTCTTTCTTTCTTTCAATGACCCTCTCAATAACTGTAACATGAGGAAACACATACCTGTATGGATGATGCATTTGCTTTCAATGTAGAGTAGAACTCCTCATTGAGATCCATACCAAGTGACAGGTCAGTCAAGTTTGGCATAGAACAAAGTGCTTCTGCTAGATGATGTGATGAGGCTGGTGTGGGACACTGGATATCTTCAAGCTTGAGAGTCTGGACCTGCATTGTTTGTTAATAATGAAATAAATATATATTATAGTATTTTAATTCATTTATTCAGGAAAGTTAGAAACTTTTTTATTTACCCAATTAAAAATAAACATTTAAAAGAACAGAAATCGAATGAGCCTGGGCTGCTATCTCTGTATACGTATACGTATACATCAGTAAATGCAATATGGCAGCTGACATGAATTGTAACATTAGACATCAATCGTCTAGGCAAATCTTGAAAGAATATCATTTATTGTCAAATTGAAAAAATGATTCTTGTAAAGTTGCAAATAAAACATGATTAAAGATGGAAATATGAATGTAAGTACTACTTTTATTCACAAATAGTTACGTTTAAAGCAGTGTTTTATGTGAAATTCGTGCCTGTCAGGAGCAGTGTTTTTCATCAAGAGTGGTAGGCAGAAGCCCTCCGTGCTGGTCAGCCTGCCTGCCCAGTGCCGACCACCGAAGCTATAACGCTGCTTGCTATTATATTACCGAACCCCGAACCGATCCAAGTTCGTGTAAAAAATTGTTTAACTCTACCGAACCCAAACATGGTGCCTGACTTACAGCACTAGTTACAGGTCGGTGAAACAAACCAAGAAAGCGAAGAGGGCAGCAGCTGTGATAGCTAGAAAAACTAGTCTTCATGCTCACCAGGAACAATATGACGATCTATAGTCTCATACTGTTGAAGTAGTGCGTGAAGTGCAAGTGGATAATAAGACCTTTTTGATTGACCAGATCAAGTCAGAACCAAAGAAATTCTATAATTATGTGAGACATTTTTCACAATCATCAGCAAGTGTTGAGGTTTGGAGCATGATGGTAGTAAGATAACAGATGATCAGAATAAGGCAGAAATTCTATACAACTTTTTTATGAGTGTATTAAAGACTGAAGCAGTTGATCTGCAGCTCCCTTCTGTTCAGATTCCGAAAACCTCTGACACAAATCCTATCTATGACATTGAATTCTCTGTGAATACTGTTCATGAAAAATTGTACAAACTCCACTTAAACAAATCTTGTGGTCCCAACAGGATACATGTCAATGTCTTAAAGAACGTTCTTGATTTTGACAAGCCTCTATGTTATTTAAGGAATCATTACAGACCGGTCAAATCCCTCAAGATTGGAAGGATGCAAACATCACACCAATTTTCAAGAAAGGAGCTCGACTAGTGCCGAACAATTATAGACCAGTCTCTCTTACAAGTCAAATAGTGAAGATCTTGGAGATTATTTGTGACAAGTTAACTGAACATGCCTCAATCAATACTATAATTTCATGCCTTCAGCATGGTTTTCAACAAGGATGTTCGTGCACCACTCAACTTCTGGAGTGTCTTTATGACTGGTCCAAGGTTTTTGATGAGAAGGAAGGAGTATACATTATGTATCTCAATTTCCAAAAGGCTTTCGGCTCAGTTCTACATCGATGGCTTCTGTACAAATTGAAACAACTCGGAATACATGGACAAGTATTGGATTGAATAGAAAGCTGAGGCTGGTGTGGGACACTGGACGTCCTCAAACGTGAGAGTCTGAACCTGCATTGTTTGTGAAAATAGTTCAGCAGCTCATCTATACATGAGTAATTATGTTTTATTCACTAGTATTAATTTCTCAATGCATTCTTATATTCATCACCAACTATACTCATAACACAGCTGTGTGCATAGTCACATTCTCAACAAAACAAGTTTAATAGAGTTTCTTTTTTTTTAATTCAATTCTTGTCCAAAACTGCAGTTGAAGTAGAAGTAAAAGTATTCTTCTATAAACTTGAAACCAATTTATATTAATAAGTCCTACTCCTAACACCACTGAAACAAATAATACACAGAAATCTGCATTTGCTATCAATGTATTGAAGGTAATCATACTTCTGGTTTTATGTGAACAAGAACCCTAAGTCAGGAGGTTTGAGGCTATGGTACAGTTGTGGATAATGCGAGTCTTTATCAAATTTGATGTTAAAAAAACACAATCCCCCCCCCCCTATCAACCATCCTTGGACATATTAAGATATTGATTATCAATCAAAATAATGTTAATCCTATACTCAGACTAATCTCAAAAGATTTAGCAAAGGTGCAGTCTGTTTGTATTCCCTTTTTTTCATGACTTTTCTGATATATAAAGTGAATGACCTATAAAAAAGGGTATTTTGAAGAAGAAAAAACATATATTCATGTGCACCATCTCATCACTACTGATCTTTTTTTCTTTCAATGATCCTCTCCATGACGTAAACATTAGGAAACACATACCTGTATGGATGATGCATTTGCTTTCAATGCAGAGCAGAACTCCTCATTGAAATCCATTCTAAGAATCAGGTCAGTCAGGTTTGGCATAGAACAAAGTGCTTCTGCTAGATGATGTGATGAGTCTGGTGTGGGACACTGGACGTCCTCAAACTTGAGAGTCTGAACCTGCATTGTTTGTGAAAATAGTTCAGCAGCTCATCTATACATGAGTAATTATGTTTTATTCACTAGTATTAATTTCTCAATGCATTCTTATATTCATCACCAACTATACTCATAACACAGCTGTGTGCATAGTCACATTCTCAACAAAACAAGTTTAATAGAGTTTCTTTTTTTTAAATTCAATTCTTGTCCAAAACTGCAGTTGAAGTAGAAGTAAAAGTATTCTTCTATAAACTTGAAACCAATTTATATTAATAAGTCCTACTCCTAACACCACTGAAACAAATAATACACAGAAATCTGCATTTGCTATCAATGTATTGAAGGTAATCATACTTCTGGTTTTATGTGAACAAGAACCCTAAGTCAGGAGGTTTGAGGCTATGGTACAGTTGTGGATAATGCGAGTCTTTATCAAATTTGATGTTAAAAAAACACAATCCCCCCCCCCCCCTATCAACCATCCTTGGACATATTAAGATATTGATTATCAATCAAAATAATGTTAATCCTATACTCAGACTAATCTCAAAAGATTTAGCAAAGGTGCAGTCTGTTTGTATTCCCTTTTTTTCATGACTTTTCTGATATATAAAGTGAATGACCTATAAAAAAGGGTATTTTGAAGAAGAAAAAACATATATTCATGTGCACCATCTCATCACTACTGATCTTTTTTTCTTTCAATGATCCTCTCCATGACGTAAACATTAGGAAACACATACCTGTATGGATGATGCATTTGCTTTCAATGCAGAGCAGAACTCCTCATTGAAATCCATTCTAAGAATCAGGTCAGTCAGGTTTGGCATAGAACAAAGTGCTTCTGCTAGATGATGTGATGAGGCTGGTGTGGGACACTGGACGTCCTCAAACTTGAGAGTCTGAACCTGCATTGTTTGTGAAAATAGTTCAGCAGCTCATCTATACATGAGTAATTATGTTTTATTCACTAGTATTAATTTCTCAATGCATTCTTATATTCATCACCAACTATACTCATAACACAGCTGTGTGCATAGTCACATTCTCAAAAAAACAAGTTTAATAGAGTTTCTTTTTTTAAAATTCAATTCTTGTCCAAAACTGCAGTTGAAGTAGAAGTAAAAGTATTCTTCTATAAACTTGAAACCAATTTATATTAATAAGTCCTACTCCTAACACCACTGAAACAAATAATACACAGAAATCTGCATTTGCTATCAATGTATTGAAGGTAATCATACTTCTGGTTTTATGTGAACAAGAACCCTAAGTCAGGAGGTTTGAGGCTATGGTACAGTTGTGGATAATGCGAGTCTTTATCAAATTTGATGTTAAAAAAACACAATCCCCCCCCCCCCCTATCAACCATCCTTGGACATATTAAGATATTGATTATCAATCAAAATAACGTTAATCCTATACTCAGACTAATCTCAAAAGATTTAGCAAAGGTGCAGTCTGTTTGTATTCCCTTTTTTTCATGACTTTTCTGATATATAAAGTGAATGACCTATAAAAAAGGGTATTTTGAAGAAGAAAAAACATATATTCATGTGCACCATCTCATCACTACTGATCTTTTTTTCTTTCAATGATCCTCTCCATGACGTAAACATTAGGAAACACATACCTGTATGGATGATGCATTTGCTTTCAATGCAGAGCAGAACTCCTCATTGAAATCCATTCTAAGAATCAGGTCAGTCAGGTTTGGCATAGAACAAAGTGCTTCTGCTAAGTCATGTAATGAGGCTCGTGTGGGACACCAAACAACGTGAAGCTTGAGAGTTTGGACCTGCATTGTTGTAATTAAAGTTACACGGATATATTTCAATTCAATTCAAGGTATTTTATTCAAAGGCTAAATTACAAATGAATTTACAAAATTCAAAACATTAAAAACATCATTCAAATTAGAAAGAATCATACACAATATTCTGGAAATAAATGTAAATGCAAATGAAAGGAACCATACATGTATAATGATAAGATTATAAACATATTGCTTACAAACAATAATAATTTTGGAATTAACATTTAAATATTGTCCACTTTCCATCAAAATGTAAAGCCTTGTGTAAAGTAACTTGAGTGGTATCTGATGGTAAAAATTAATAATATATGAATATTTTTCATTAAGTTAATTAAAGGAGTCTAGAAGTATGAGTTTTCTATTACATATACAAATAAAGGTATAATCAAAAGGATCAAAACATGAAAAATCAATACAAATTCACAAGTGATTAAATAGCTATAAATTCTCAATCATAAGAAGTAGACTGGCAAGTGATCAATAAAGTATACTTGGGTTGTATAAAATAATTAGAATGGGTATTATTAAACTTAAGAAACACTTGAAACGTAAATTAAATGAGTGTAAAAGAATGTTTGGCGTTTCTATTAAAAATCTGTAAGTGCATGATATATTTACTTGTACTTATTTCTCAATGCATTCTTATATTCATCACTAACTATATTCGTAGCACAGCTGTATGCATATCCACAGTAGAGCGCTGTCGCAAACATCGAAGACAACGGGAGAATCTTCTCAACCGAGATCAACTAATGTATGCACTTCGGATTCTGTCTATTGAAATACAATTATTTTTATCAGGTGAATGAAATAATTTGTATTGAGGCACTTCACAAAGACTTATGCAATTACGATAATAGACCTATTGCATGGCGATACAGCTCTTTCATCGTGTTTAGGGAATGAACGCTTTTATGGCCGAAAAGTTGTGAAAATCAACAAGACGGTGAAAATCAACAAGACGGTGAAAATTCTGGTTGGCACATGCGCAGATTGATTTTTTCTCTCAGTTACCCTTGTTTTTGCCTTCCGTCATATTTGCGAAAGCGCTTGATATACACGTTACAAAAGAAGAGGGAAGCATAGTACAAACTTGGTTGAGTGAATCCTGTACGAATCCTGTCGTCTTTGCTTCCATCGTGTTTGTGAAAGCGCTCTATTCTTAACAAAGAAAATTCTACAGTTTTTTTTTAAATTCAGTCCTCGTCTTACACTCCAGTTCTATCAGAAGGGTGAATACGTTATTATTTTTCCCCCAATATCCTATAAGTATTCTTCAAAAGACTTAAAAGCAGTTTACATTTATTAGTCCTACTCCTAACACCACTGAAATAAATAATACCTCGAATTTTCATATGTATTTAATGTATTGAAGGTATTCATGAATATGGTTTCATGTGCACAAGAACCCTTAAAGCTGATATTCTAAGCAAATAAATGTCCCTTAATTTGGTACCTACGGCAAGCATATGTTATTTATAAGTTTTTCAATTACATAGTATATCACAAAAAAATTCTGGCTACTCGAAATCCTTAATTGAAATGTCGAAAATATCCGCCTCTCTTTGCACAGCAAATCAGTCACTGCACTGGTCTACTATATATGACATCATGTCTGGGAAAGAGTTTATTCACGTACCCGGATGTTCCATAGAAAGCATGTGCAGAGAGATACGATTTTCTGCTTATTTTGTTTCAAAGGCTGAAAATCCTAATAAATCATAATTCTATGTACAATTCTTTACCTTCCCCTAATATTTCATAGTATTAATATCAATTCCCCTTTTAAAAATTATGACATATACATGCCAACGATGTGCTATTAGTCGATATTTTCACCATGTATTTTTTTTGTTTTGGTGTTGAAATCGGCCCAGGCATATGCACGGAGTGAACAGTAGCTGTCTGGTTAGTGCACCCATGCACAGTTCATTACCATACAGCGATCTCCCGATGGTTTCTTCTTCCTTTTTCCCATGTCTTTCGCCTTCCTTGGCCCTGAAGATCCTTCATCTACCAATTCTGACACCGGTAGTCAGGAACAAGTTTTTGTTAGTTGTTTTTCTTAGCTGGTAACGTCGCTTTCGTTATCTTGCAATTGCCGATAAACATATAATCAGCGCACGTAAGCAGCAAGCAGCGCCTAGAGCAACGGTCTGGTCTGGTCTTACCTCCCGATTCTGCTTGCTTCACGGATGTTCGTGAAGATCACTCGCGGATGGAACATTGGTTGAACACTAGACGTTGTCAAAATATTATAGAGGAAGCGCGCTTGCATGATCTCGGTCAAGTTTGATATTTTACAACATAAAATGTTTAACTGGTACTGTATCCTTTTTTGAGGCAGTCACACACATCTATGATAAGTACTATCATAGTTGTAGGCCTATTCGTTTTACAAAACTGCTCCTGTACCTTATCTAATGACAAGATAATGCATCCGCCTATTCATACGTGCATGATTTAACCTTGTTTCCCAAGCAGTAAACTCGTCTTAAATCTCTACCAAATAGGTGAATATGAGGATATAAACAGAAATCAGCGACTGGAAAATGTTGCTTCGTTATTCTTCATTCAAATGGAAACAAAAAATCCATCAAATATACTCATTAACAAAAAAAAAACTAAGTTCTGCCAGGATAGCATTTACGTAGGGATATCACTGCATTCACTCTCACTTAGCCCATGGGTCCCGTTCGTGACGTCACGGATAGAGGCCCGACTGTACATGCACTTCCGGGTTTCAGATTTCCCCCTTCATTCAAAATTGGAAATACTTGGGATTATTGATCAAAATAATGTAGATCATATACATACTGAATGAAAAGTACAAATCCTATACAGAATGATTGAAGAGGAATTTTCAAAATTAAGTTTTTGTCTGTCAAAAAAAAAAAATTTCATCAAAAGAATCATTTAAGTGGTCTTCTTCTTCTCGAGTCACTACACCACAATGTTCACTCTTGTGTAGATTGTCCAAATCCAGTGTTGGATGCATTGCATCGCGCAGGGGGTCAGCGCTTCTAGATCTTCTTGGGTCCTAATGAACCAGAGCACTATAACACCGAGTTCCCATAGGACATCTATTTATTTAGATGGTCATATCTCGGCCAATACTGAATATATTCAATTGGTTTTCAACAATCGTACATTATTTTTGATGCTGTTTTGGAAAATGAAGACAAATTTGAGAAATTCTAAAAATTGATTTTTTTAAATAATTTTTTTAATGACGTCACACTTCACCACTCTATACCTCTAATGGCTCTTAAAGCTTATCAACACTAGTGTGGCTAGGAGGGATTAGATCACACAGCAAGGTCACTGACAGGTGGCTATCTCATCAACTCAGCTCTTAAATAACATAAGAAATAGAGGATCATGGGGGACCAACAGGCACCGATTGGGGAAGTTTTCTATATAGAGGGAGCAAGTAGCTACAAGTAGGACAGTGGGGCTTTAAGATATCGCAATAACAAGCATAAAACTTGTAATTTCAGAAAATGACCTCTGTGACCTTTGACCTCCTTACCAAAGATCTATTCAGATTGTCTTCCAATGACGATAGATACTATCACCAAAGTTTTAACCCAATATATCTGTAGTGGTTCTTCAGATATTGCAATAGCAAGGCTAGAAACTGTAATTTAAGAAATTGACGTCTGTGACATTTGACCTTCTGGATTTTTGTAATTCACTACACCATGGTATTCGCTTTAAGATCTTAACTCCCTTCAACTCCTCCAAAAAAGAGCAGTACGGCTCATTCATGTTTAACCAAAATTTGTCCATGTCTCCCCTCTCATCACTGATATTCACTGGCTTCGCGTTGATAATCGTATCATACATTAAGACCCCAACTCTCACTTACAAAGTTACAAGTGTCTCAATGATCAGGCCCCAGCATTCCTGGGGGATCTACTCCATTTGCAGATATCCATGTATCATACACGATCAGCCAGTAGCAAAACATGCACTTACTGACCCTCGAACAGATAGGCGATATAGGGCTCTTTCTGTTATCCCCCAAAAAACCTGGAACTCCTTTAATACCCCCTGTACTTAAGAATTGCCATACTCTTACAGTTTTCAAGAAGTGTCTGAAAACACATATTTTCTAATTTATTGTAATATTCCCGTTAGTAATAAATGTTCTCTCGTTTTGTTTGTTTGTATTTCTTGTTTGTGAGCTTTGTATCTAATGAAAAGGTGCTTTATAAATGTACAACCTGATCAGAAAATCTTCCTATGATGATACATACTATCACCAAGTTAAGCATCATATCTAGTGGTTATAGAGATATCACAATAGGGAAGCTCATACAGATTTGCCGGCGATAAGGCCACAGTGCAACATAGGCTGCACCCCCAACTTTGATATTTCGTAGAGGAAAAAAAAACAGACCAAACAAAATAATCATAATTTTCTCGTAGAACACTAGTTTTTCTACAAACTCATACCAAATTCTTCAATATTCTTATAAATCTGCAGGAAGTTTACCTAAAAAATGATCATGATTTAGCTAATTTTCATCGATTTTTAAGTTAGTACTGTATCGCAGGCAGTTTTGGTATCCTATATATACCCCTACCACGATGTGCGGTGTAATACGAAATTGCAACTTCGGCTGGATGCGCAGATGTGTTGCGCCGCAGCTAGCTCTACTTTAGCTTTACTTTTTAGCGATGTAATGACACAAACTTAGATCTAGATCTACCGGTAGATTTTGTTAGAAAAATAAGTTATGAAGTTTATTTTTGTCTTCATGTCAACAATGCAACAAAAAATTGTCGGTAAGATGTGTGGAGTTATTCTAGAAATGTCCCGTACCATTGTATAGTCATTGTAGTCCCATATGTACGAATGGACGTGCTGTTTTGACCCCTGAAATTTTAGTTGTTGCGCATAGGCCGCACCCAGATTATTTGATATTTTCTCTTCCGAAAATACTGCGACCTTTACGCCGGCAAATACGGTAGCTGGAAATTCAGGAGTTGACCTCTGTGACCTGACTTTTGACCTACTAACCCAAAATCTAATTAGATCATCTTCCTATAGTGATACATATATTTTCAACAAGTCAACGCAAAGCATTGCATCCCCTCGCCGGATACAATTGGCCTATATACGTCAGAACAAGTAACCTCCACTAGACTATACTACACTGTCGCTCATATCGTTGGAATATTTTTGTTTTACTCCAATTTATGGAATTATTAAAAAAATAATTTAAAAATAATAGATCTAGATAATAGTATACATTCTCAGATTTTATTGAATAATAATTTGCCATTGTGTGTTTTGCGTGAGTGCTAAAGCATGTGTATGCTACTATGCTTATGAACTAGGGGACCTACGCCCTTAAGTCATAAATGACAGCAATGAGGATTAATGCCCTACAAAAGGGCACTAATATAGCACATCGACATGGTTTTGATCCTGGGGCCTCACAGTTACGAGGCTGTTGCTTTGTCATTGAACCATGCCTGTACGCAGCGGGGGCTAGGGTAGTGGGCAGTTTCCATAAATGAAAAAAAAAAAAAAAAAATCAATAAATTTTCAATAATTTATTGCATTTTACCCCGGTTCCAAACATAAACAAATCCTATGTGTGCCCATGCCTTGAGCCATAATGCATGGCCGTCCAGAGGATTTTTTATGTTGGGGACCGAGGTAAAATGCAATAAATGATTGAAAATTTATTGCATTTTCTTTTTTTTTTTTAATTTATGGAAACTGTTCATTTCCAACTAAATTGGGGATGCCAATTCATTTGGTAATACTTTTGAGATCGCCAGTACTCCAGGTTTTGCATTTAGGTCAAGGTCAAGGTCGAAATTGACCCCAAAATAGCAAGTTTTTAATGGTTACAAAAGGTTTTCCCATTTATTTGTGATTTGTTCTCCCCTATGTTCTCAAATTTCTTTAGGAATGGTTCCCCTACACAGTCCCCCACCTTAATCATTTTCAGGTAGTATATTTCACAGTTTGATTTGACCTCTGATGACCCGGAGAGGTCTAATCCAAAATGGCTGCCAGTTCGCATGGTCTAATTATGTACAAACGTGGGTATCTTTTGAACCAAATAGTCCAGAAAAACGTTTAAGGTGTCATTTCCAACTAAATTGGGGATGCCAATTCATTTAGTAATACTTTAGAGATCGCCAGAACTCAGGGTTTTGCATTTAGGTCAAGGTCAAGGTCAAAATTGACTCAAAAATAGCAAGTTTTGAATGGTTACAAAAGGTTTTCCATATTTATTTGTCATCTGTTCTCAAATTTCTTTAGGAATGGTTCCCCTGCATAGTCCCCCACCTTAATCCCTTTCAGTTAGTTTATTTTATAGTTTGGTTCGACCTCTGATGACCCTGAGAGGTCAAATCCAAAATGGCCGCCAGTCCGTATGGTCTAATGTACAAACATGCTTAACCATGTTTTTTAACCAAATAGTCCAGAAATGTGGCAGTTAGAGCGCACACAAGAATATGACGTGGCGGTGGCCGCGGCGTAACGATGCTGAATCCTAAGTACCCCACCGTCATACTGCCAGGGGATACAATAAAATAAAGAATTTCAAATAACATATATATACATGTGCACCGTATAATGACATTTACATTATTACACAAGTACCTGCATAGACCATGCCTTTGCTTTCAATGTAGAGTAGAACTCCTCACGTAAATCCCCTTCATAGAGTCTCAAGTCAGTCAAGTGTGGCATTGAACAAAGTGCGTCTACTAGGTGACGTGATGAGGCTGGTGTGGGACACCGGACATCTCGAAGGTTGAAAGTCCGGACCTGCAGTGTTTGTTAATATAGTTCAGCAGCTCATCTATACATGCACATGTTTTAAATTAAGGTCAAAATTGGCTGTCCAAAAATACATGACATATTTTCCCTATTGATGAAACTTGGGAACGGTTGGATATTGACTGATCTAAATACTGTAAATGATATACATACTGGAATTTTAACTGAACCTGAGCAGTTTGCTTTCCATCATCACATTTTTCATGACTTGCATTTAATTTTTCTTTTCTTAATACAAAAATAGCATGTATCGGTATACATGTGCACTATATAATCGTTATGGTTCTAGGACAATCACCCCCAGCCAATTACCAGAGGGACAATTATCCCCAGAGGACAGTTACCCCCCCCCCCCCCGAAAATTACTTAGGAGGGAAAATACTCCCTGAAAAAAACTTCTGCTTTTATTAAAACCAACATCAGGGTAGACTTCCCCTTTAATGAAGGGGGGGGGGGTCGTCCTTGGGGGTGGTTGACCTTGGATGTCCTTAGGTGGGGGGAGGGGGTAATTGATCGAGGGGATAAATTTTAGGGGTGGGGGTTATTGTCTATATACGGGGTAATTGTCAATGGGGGTAATGTAATTACCCGGGGGCAATTGTCCTCGGGGGGGGGGGGGGGGTGGTTATCTTTGGGGGCCAATTTTCCTGATGGTCGTCTGTGGGGATAGTTTTCTTTGGGGGTGATTGTCCAGGGGGTAATTGTCCTAAAAAGAATTGTTATTGCTCTTTCTTTCTTACATTAGGACACACATACCTGTATAGACGATGCCTTTGCTTTCAATGTAGAGTAGAACTCCTCATTGAGATCCATACCAAGTGTTAGGTCAGTCAGGTTTGGCATAGAACAAATTGCTTTTGCTAGGTGACATGATGAGGCTGGTGTGGGACACTGGACATCATCAAGCTCGAGAGTCTGGACCTGCAGTGTTTGTATATATAGTTCAGCAGCTCATCAATCCATGCATATGTTATATTTACTAGTACTCATTTCTCATTGCATTCTTATATTTATCGCCAAGCACGTGCATAACACAGGTGCACTTGTAATCAAATTCTTAACAAAATGACTGAAGAGGATTTTTCAAAAGTTTTTGTCTGTTGAAAAAATGTTTACTCTTGTTTAGACTGTCTGAACCCAGTGTTGGATGCATTGCATCGCGCATGGGGCAGTGCTTTCAGTTCTTCTTGGGTAGAGAGCCTTCTGTTAATTATTCATAATCAAATTCTCAACAAAAGTGACTGAAGAGATTTTATTTTTAGATTCAATCGTCTATTGAAAAAAAGAACATGCGTAAAGTTTCTATGGCAAGGATGATTTAGTTAAGCAGCTCATCTGTTCATGCATATGTTTCATTTACTAGTATTAAGTTTTCATTGCATTCTTATATATCACCAAGCATGTGCATAACAGATCTGCATTCATAATCACAATCTTAACAAAGTGATTTAAAAAAAAATTAAGGTATTGTCGTTTGAAGAAAAACTCGATCAAAAGGATCATGTTTTAAAGTGGTAGTGTTAATTCAAATGTAATCTTTAAGGAAATTGAAACCAAGACATTTTGATTGATAGCCTTCCTAAATATTATGAGCCAGTTAAAACGATCTCGAAATTAATCATATTTGATTATTTTAATAGCAAGGAAAACAATCTCTCCAGAACATTACATTTTTCTTGACTTTTTGATATATCAAGTTAATGGCTTTTAATATTGAAGGCATTGTTTAGAATCTCATACTAATGGTATACTACTCCCGTTTTCGCCTCCTATAACACCTTTTAAATTCAGACCTACTATATTGTGTTACTCAGTACGGGAGCCTATTCACATACAAGCTATGCTTTTTATTTAGGCTCCCCACATTTTACATTGTTTTTACCTTGCCTGTTATATCTTCATATTTCGAAATTTTGTACTTATTTTCCGTACATTATACTTGATTTTAAATCTTTAATTTAAAACCAAAAAAAATTCTTGTGTGAAATCTTATATAATATACGCCTGTATAAAAAAATTAGAAAAGAATTTAAACTGTTTTTTTATGTAAAATGCGGAATAAATAAACTTCAAACTTCAACAATGTTAAATGCACGGCCCTACGTGTTATCAGTGTCTGTGATATGGTGTAATATTGAAGCCCTAAACAATTTGAGTTTCAAAATGATCAAGAAGTAAACATCTTTAAGTGACCGATTTTACCATACTCGTTTCCCCCAATAGACTGTAGTGTTATGAAAACTGTTTTGTCCACAAACTGATACCAAATTCCAAAGTTATGAAGTTTATTCACGAAATTGACAAAACTTCAACAATGTAACACAAAATTGTCGGTTAGATGTGTGGAGTACTGGACTTATTCTAGAAATGTCCTGTACCATTTTACACTAACTTGTATAGTCATTGTAGTCCCATATGTACACATACATGCTGTTCTGACCGGTGATTCAGGGTTCGAGATGACCCGATTTTGACTGTTGTTGCGCATTGGCTGCACCCAAACTTTGCAATATTTTCTCTTTCCAAAATACTGCGGCACATGTGCACCATATAATCATTATTGCTCTTTCTTTCTTCCAATGACCCTCTCCATGACATTTACATTAGGAAACACAAACCTGTATGGATGATGCCTTTGCTTTCAATGAAGAGTAGAACTCCTCATTGACATCCTTTCCAAGTGTCAGGTTGGTAAGGTTTGGCATTGAACAAAGTGCTTCCACTAGATGATGCAATGAGGCTGGTGTTGGACACTGGACATAATCAAGCTTGAGAGTCTGGACCTGCATTGTTTTTTAATATAGTTCAGCAACCCATCTATACATGCATAATAATGTTTTTATTTACTAGTACTAATATCTCATTGCATTCTTATATTTATCACTAACTGCCTCCATAACACAGCTGTATGTATATTCACATTTTCAACAAAGAAAGCTGAATGTATTTTCTTTTTTAATTCAATTATTGTCTAACACTTAAGTTCCCATCATAAGAATAAAGGATCCCCCTTAAATAGCCTATATGCATTCTTCAAAAGGCTTTTAACCTGTTTACATTTAATAATTCCCAATCCTAAGAACTCTGAAATAATAAAATACCCAAGAATTTTCATCTCCTATTAATGTATTGAAGGTAATTATAAATCTGGCTTCATGTGCATGAGAATCCTAAGTCTGGAGGTTTGTGGCTATTCATGTTACAGATTTGGTTAATGGAAAAAAAAATACACACAAAAATCCTATTGATCAAACTTGGGACATACTAGGATACTGATTATTGATCAAAATAATGTTATTCCTTTACACATAGTAATCTCAACAGATTTTCAGTACATATGTAGTTTGCTTTGGTTCATTATTTCATGACCATTCTGATAGATCAAGTGAATAGCCTTTAAAATTTTAAGAAAAAAAGTACATATACATGTAAACATTACTGATCTTTCTTTCTTCCAATGTTCCTCTTCATGACATTAACATTAGGACAAACGTACCCGAAAGGATAAAGCCTTTGCTTTCAATGTAGAGCAGAACTCCTTATCAAACTGCATTTCAAGTGTCAGGTCAGTCAGGTTTGGCATAGAACAAAGTGCTTCTGCTAGGGGATGTGATGAGCCTTGTGTAGGGCACCAGACAACATGAAGTTTGAGAGTCTGGACCTGCATTGTTTGTGAATAAAGTTACACAGATATCATTATGTGCATTTTTTTTTAATCTCATTGCATTCTTATATCTATCACTAACTGCCTCCATAACACAGCTGTATGCATATTCACATTTTCAACAAAGATAGCTGAATGTATTTTCTTTTTTAATTCAATTATTGTCTAACACGTAAGTTCCCATAAGAAAAAAGGATCCCCTTAAATATCCTATGTGCATTCTTCAAAAGGCTTTTAACCTGTTTACATTTAATAATTCCCAATCCTAAGAACTCTGAAATAAAAAAATACCTAAGAATTTTCATCTCCTATTAATGTATTGAAGGTAATTATAGATCTGGCTTCATGTGCATGAGAATCCTAAGTCTGGAGGTTTGTGGCTATTCATGTTACAGATTTGGTTAATGGAAATAAAAATACACACAAAAATCCTATTGATCAAACTTGGGACATACTAGGATACTGATTATTGATCAAAATAATGTTATTCCTTTACACATAGTAATCTCAACAGATTTTCAGTACATATGTAGTTTGCTTTGGTTCATTATTTCATGACCATTCTGATAGATCAAGTGAATAGCCTTTAAAATTTTTAGAAAAAAAGTACATATACATGTAAACATTACTGATCTTTCTTTCTTCCAATGTTCCTCTTCATGACATTAACATTAGGACAAACGTACCCGAAAGGATGATGCCTTTGCTTTCAATGTAGAGCAGAACTCCTTATCAAACTGCATTTTAAGTGTCAGGTCAGTCAGGTTTGGCATAGAACAAAGTGCTTCTGCTAGGGGATGTGATGAGGCTTGTGTAGGGCACCAGACAACATGAAGTTTGAGAGTCTGGACCTGCATTGTTTGTGAATAAAGTTACACAGATATCGTTATGTGCATTTTTTTTAAATCTCATTGCATTCTTATATTTATCACTAACTGCCTCCACAACACAGCTGTATGCATATTCACATTTTCAACAAAGATAGCTGAATGTATTTTCTTTTTTAATTCAATTATTGTCTAACACTTAACTCATAGCCTGCCATGAGGCTGCATACACGCTACCTATTGAGTGCCATGTGCGTGCGTGCGCACTTTCGTAGTAGCGGTTATTGTTCATGCTCATTGGGCTGTGCTGTGTGTTTTGCACTCGCCATTCATAGAACCACCGCGTAAATCAGATTATCTCAAAAACAACCTGGCACAATGGGGATTAGCCCTGTGGCACGATAAGAGTTAAGTTCCCATAAGAAAAAAGGATCCCCTTAAATATCCTATATGCATTCTTCAAAAGGCTTTTAACCTGTTTACATTTAATAATTCCAAATCCTAAGAACTCTGAAATAAAAAAAATACCTAAGAATTTTCATCTCCTATTAATGTATTGAAGGTAATCATAAATCTGGCTTCATGTGCATGAGAATCCTAAGTCTGGAGGTTTGTGGCTATTCATGTTACAGATTTGGTTAATGGAAGAAAAAAATACACACAAAAATCCTATTGATCAAACTTGGGACATACTAGGATACTGATTATTGATCAAAATAATGTTATTCCTTTACACATAGTAATCTCAACAGATTTTCAGTACATATGTAGTTTGCTTTGGTTCATTATTTCATGACCATTCTGATAGATCAAGTGAATAGCCTTTAACATTTTAAGAAAAAAAGTACATATACATGTAAACATTACTGATCTTTCTTTCTTCCAATGTTCCTCTTCATGACATTAACATTAGGACAAACGTACCCGAAAGGATAAAGCCTTTGCTTTCAATGTAGAGCAGAACTCCTTATCAAACTGCATTTCAAGTGTCAGGTCAGTCAGGTTTGGCATAGAACAAAGTGCTTCTGCTAGGGGATGTGATGAGCCTTGTGTAGGGCACCAGACAACATGAAGTTTGAGAGTCTGGACCTGCATTGTTTGTGAATAAAGTTACACAGATATCATTATGTGCATTTTTTTTAAATCTCATTGCATTCTTATATCTATCACTAACTGCCTCCATAACACAGCTGTATGCATATTCACATTTTCAACAAAGATAGCTGAATGTATTTTCTTTTTTAATTCAATTATTGTCTAACACGTAAGTTCCAATAAGAAAAAAGGATCCCCTTAAATATCCTATGTGCATTCTTCAAAAGGCTTTTAACCTGTTTACATTTAATAATTCCCAATCCTAAGAACTCTGAAATAAAAAAATACCTAAGAATTTTCATCTCCTATTAATGTATTGAAGGTAATTATAAATCTGGCTTCATGTGCATGAGAATCCTAAGTCTGGAGGTTTGTGGCTATTCATGTTACAGATTTGGTTAATGGAAATAAAAATACACACA